ATGAAAATTAACTGCAAAAAGTGCTTCAAAACACTACCTGCTTTCAGGAGTGGTAACAGTACTAGAGCTCAATACATAGTTTCCTAGGACAACTGTATGAACATTTATTTACTCATTAAAAAACAAAAAACCCAAACAAAACTCAAACCTATTAATTTCTTATAGTCACTCCTGTTATAACTTTAATCTTCTATTTTGAGTTTCACTTCATTTATTATTTTAAAAATATTTTAAATTTCAGACACTAAAAATTCAAAAGAAGTACTATTAAACAAAGCTTAAACAATGCAAGTAAATTTGGTCAGGAAGCGAATATAACTTTGGAAAATCCTACAGGCCCCACCTGCCAGAAAACCAAGACCACAGACCTCTTACCCCACTGCTCTCTAGTCTCATCCCCAGCTCTGAAGCAAAACACCTGCGGCAGCCTTCCCTGTCCCCATCCCACTCACTGTCCCCCTCTTCTGTGACTCTCATACTTCCCCTTCTAACCTCCCTTCCCCACTCATTGCTTTGTCCAGCTCCCAGCCCCAGCAGGCACGCCATCCTAATCCAAGGGTCCCTCCACCAGAGAAACAAGTAGACTGAGGTACATCCACACACACCTCTTCTGCTCCAATTCCACAGCTCTGGAGCAGCGAACCTGCTGTGCTCTCCCTTCCTTCTCTGACCCCATCCACCAAGGAGCACAAGGAACATCTCCCCCAACCTTCCTTCCCACAGACCTAGACATCGGCATAAAAACATAATTATTAACAGCCAGGAGAGTATTTCACCACTAGAGCCCAGCAACCCTACCAGAGCAGGCACTGAATATTATAACACTGCCGAAGTACACACACACACACACACACAAAGACCATAAGCCAGCCTGAAAGAAGATGACAGAGGCCATAAAAAGAGAAAATGATTAAATCCCTTAGTGAAAACAGGAAAGCAAAGAGTTGTAGGAAATGAATAAAACTGTTCCAAGATCTGACAATGGATACAGAATCTATAAAAAAGCACAAACTAAGGGAATTCTGAAAATGAAAATTTGGGGAAATTGAACAGGAACCAAAGAGGCAAGCTTAACCAATAGAATGCAAGAAATGGAAGCGAGAATCCCAGGCGTTGAAGATATGACAGAAAAAAATGGACACACCAGTCAAAGGAAATATTAAATTTAAAAATCTCCTGATACAAAACATCCAGGAAATTTAGAACACTATGAAAAAACCAAATCTAAGCACAAGAATAGAGGAAGGAGAAGAAACCCAGTTCATAAGCCCAGGAAATATTTTCAACAGAATCATAGAAGAAAAGTTTCCTAACATAAGGAGATGCCTAAAAAGGTACAACCTTGCAGAACTTCACCAAATACAATGGACCAGAAAAGAAAGTTTCCATGATACATAATAGTCAACACATTAATTTTACAGAACAAGAAAGAATATTAAACGCTTCAAGGGAGAAAGTTTAAACAACATATAAAGGCAGGTCTTTCAGAATCACACGTGGCCTCTCAATGGAGAGTCGACTAGCCAGAGGGTGGTGAAGAAAGACGTACTGCAGACTCTGTAGCAAAGGGTCACAACATTAGGAAAGCTGAGAACCACAGAGAAAGAACATTCAAATTAACAAAGTCAGAAATGAAAAGGGAGACATAACAACAGGTATCAATGAAATCCAGAGAATCTTAAGTACATACTTTAAAACTATACTCTACCAAAATGGAAAATCTTAAAGAAATGATACCACTTGCCAAAGTTAAATCAAGACCAGAGAAGCAATTTAGGCATACCTGTAATGCCTAGTGAAATAGAAGCAGTAACTAAGTCTATCAACCAGTATAAGCTCAGGGACAGATGTAAGTTTAGCACAAAATTCTAGCAGACTTTCAAAGAGTTAAGACCAATACTCACAAAATCACTCCACAAAAGAGAAACAGAAGAACCACTGTCCAATTTATTTTATGAGGCCACAGGTACCCTGATATGAAAACTACATAAAGGTCTAATAAAGAATTACAGACCAATTTCCCTTACGAATATAGATGCAAAAATATCCAGTAATAACTTGCAAACCTAATCCAAGAACACATCAAAATGATAACCCACCATGATCAAGAGGGCTTCATCACATCAGTCCAGGGATGGTTCAATGTATGAAAAGCAATAAATATAATCTACCATGTGAACAAACTGAAAGAAAAAAAAAACACGATCATCTCATTAGATGCAGAAAAAGCCTTTAACAAAATCCAACACCCCTCCATGATAAGAGTCTTGGAGAGATCAGGAATACAAGGAACATACCTAAATGTAATAACAGCAATATACAGCAAGCTGGCATCCAACATCAACCTAAAAGGAGAGAAACTCAAAGCAATTCCACTAAAATCAAGACAAGGCAAGGCTGTCATCCACTCTCTCCATATCTATTTAACATAGTACTCAAAGCGCTAGCTAGAGCAGGAAGACAACAAAATGAGGGTATGGGGATACAAATTGAAAAGGAAGAAGTCAACCTTGCCCTATTTGCAGATGATGTGATAGTACACATAAGTGACCCTAAAAAATGCATCGGGGAACTCCTATAGCTTTTCAGTGAGATGTGGCTGGATACAAGATTGACTCAGAAAAATGGGTAGCCTCCATATATACAAACAACAAATGGACTTAGAAAGAAATCAGGAAACAACACCTTTCACAATAGCCTCAAACAATGAAAAATATCTTGGGGTAACTCTAACCAGATACACTGAACCTGACAGAAAAGTGGGGAATAGCCTTGAATGTATTAGCACAGGAGACAACTTCCTGAACAAAATACCAATAGCACAGGCACTAAGGTCAACAATTAGTAAAGGGGACCTCATAACACTAAAAAGCTTGTGTAAGGAAAAGGACACCATTAGTAGGGACAAAGCAGAAGCCTACAAATGGATAAAGATCTTCACCAACTCCACACCTGATAGAGGACTAAGAAATCAAGATATTAAAGAAACCAAATAACCCAATTAAAGAATGGGGTACAGATCTAAACAGAATTTTCAATATAGGAAACTCAAACGGCTAAAAAACACTTAAAGAATGTTCAACATCTGCCGGGCGGTGGTGGCGCACTCCTTTAATCCCAGCACTCGGGAGGCAGAGGCAGGCGGATCTCTGTCAGTTCAAGGCCGGGCTGGACCAACAGTCTCCAAAACAATACAGAGAAACCTTGTCTCGTAAAACCAAAAAAAAAAAAAAAAAAAAAAAAGAAAAAGAATGTTCAACATCCTTAAACATGAGGTCAATGTAGACCAAAATGACTCTGAGATTTCATCTTACACCGTCAGAATGGCTAAGATCAATAATACAAGTCACAGGTCATGCTGGCGATAATATGTAGCAAGGGGGCACTCTTCCATTGCTGGTGGGAGTACAAACTTGGACAGTCACTTTTGAAATCAGTATGGTGAGTCTTTAAAAAGTTGGGAATTGGTCTACCTCAAGATTGAGCTATATATCCAAAGGATGCTTCCCCCTACCATGGATACACTTGTTCAACCTTGTTCACTGGTGCTGTACTCAGAAACTGGAAAAAGCCTAGGTATCCATCAATAGATGAATGGCTAAAAAAATGTTACATTTATACAATGGAGTATTGCTCAACTATTTACAAAAAAAAAAAAACCATGCAATCTGCAGGCAAATGGATAGAATTAGAAAAAAGTCATCCTGAGTGAAGTAAGCCAAACCTAGAAAGAGAAATATGGTATGCATTTGATCATACATGGATATTAGTTGTTCAGGCATCATCAGAGTTTTCTTCTACAACAGATGGGAATGAATATAGGGACCCACAGCCACATATTATGCAGAGAGGAGACAAGAGAAGACAAGGAGAGGGAGAGAGAGAAAGAGAGAGAGAGACAGAGACAGAGAGACAGAGATGCACCTTGGAACACATAGATTAAAACAAGATGTCTCCGTCAAATTCCTCTCCTTGAAGAGTCAGTGTTGGGGAGACAAAGGGGACAAAGGAGACCAGAAGAACAACGTCCTTCCTGAGCAAGGCTCATGTGAAATCACAGAGCCTGAAGCAGCAAGCCCAGGGCCTAAAAGGGTCTGTTCCAGGTCCCCGGCACACACTACAGCTTTCAGTTGAGCACTTTTATGGAACTCCTGAACGTGTGAGTGAGTGCGTCTCTGATTCTTGTCTGCTTTTGGTGTTCTTTCTATTTTTCTGTTGGCTTGCCTTGTCCAACTTCAACGTGATAGTTTATTTTATCTTATTGTATCTTATTTTGTTATGTTTAAGTTGTTGTCTCCTAGAAGCCTGTTCTTTTCTAATGAGAGACAGAAACAGGGTGGATCTGGATGGGAGCAGAGGTGAGAAAGAATTTGTTTAATAAAAGGCAACAACCCCCCCAAAAAAAGAAAAAGAAATTTAATTTGGGAGAAATTACCTAAGCATCCATAACATTTTAAGTACTATCATATATGCACATCAAGTAAATCACACTGTTGAGCTTTTAAAAATGTATTTTAATCTCATTCCAAACAAAATTTCTAGATACAAATACATCTTATTCAAATCACTTTTTAACATTCTGCAACTTAAAATATTATAAGGATTCAATATTTTCATCTTTTATAATCTCAATATATTATATATTTGATATATAATATAAACACAATACATACACGTAGTCAGCAGGATTATAAAGTAATTTTTAAATTTGATCAGTATCGATAAATATTTTTAGGTTAAACGTAACTACGTAGAATCAAAGTAATAAAATACAGCAGACCCAAAACTAACAGTGAGACTGCAAATGTTCAAATAGCCAATCATTGGAAAAGAACTTTCAAGCTTGGTGGCATACACTTTAAACAATACTTTTGCTACTCTCAAGTAGCAGTACTTGTAGACATTAGGCATTTATATTTCCACTCAATTTAAAATGACTATGCAGCTTGTCTTACTGTAATATACAGTAGCGTTCTCTTCCTTTCTGTTGGATTTTTTTGTTTGTTTGTTTAAAGACTAATAGATTACCAACAGAAGTGAGTTTAGTTCCTTTCCCTCCCCTAGAGCATGGCTCAGTTTGAAGATTGTTCTATAGGCAGCAACTTAGTAATAACAGTACCACAACACCATGAAGAGTAACCAGTAACTGGAGTCTTAGGAGTCCGTTGGAGGTTTGCACTGTAAACCAAGGTAATCAGAAGGATCACTCCTGCAGATAGCCCTCTCCCACTAGTTAATACAGTGAGTTAAAATTCCAATGCCACAGTGTAACAGTGTAACAACCTATCCTGGGATTTTTAAATATCACAACATGGATTCACCCTGAGAGTACAGAGGAAGCACTGAAAACAAGACACTCCAATAATTCTTTTTCTCCTTCGTATTTGCATTCTTCTTTTGTCAACCCTTCAAGGGCACAACCATTTGAATTTGAAGTGTGACTTGGACATCTGTTTTTGACTGAAATTCATGCCACTGTCAGATACTGATGATAGAAAAGCCCAAAAAGGCTTGTGGAAAAGAGGCAAGCTGCAATCCACCATGTCAAAAACGACAGAAGTCCCCGGAAAAGGAGGGGGGTGAAGATGGTTTTTAAGCTGCTCAGTGCCACGGTGATTTGTGTAACAGTCACCTTCATCTTCCCATCAGCTGACGGTAGTTCAGAGTTGGAAGGGAGGTTATTCACTGGCAAGGGAGAGACAGCTTCTGGATAAATCCCCCAGGAATGATTGCCTAGAATATTCAAGACACAAACTTGATAAAACAACTAAACAAGCAGAAGAAAATCTTACATCCCCAACCCATATTAGAAACAAAGTGATACTGTGATACGGTAAATCATTTTATGTTGAAAATAAAGTAATAGTTTTCTATTTGTTAAGAGGACACAATTAATTGAACCACATTACAATTTAATAAAATTATTAAAAACCAAGTCTGACAAGACTCTCAATTCATTGCAGTAAAATCTGGAAATCCCTAAGCTATGAATCAACCGCCTTTACTGACAACAGACTTGTTCACTTCCTAGAATCCTTTCTACCTCTACCGCATCACAACAAATGTCTTTCTGAGAAACTATGGATGACGTCAATGTGAACAACTACTAGTGGCTTTCGAACTGGTTTCATCTACCTTGTACAGGATATGACTCACACAATGTAACTGAGCTACCTGCTTGGAATGGGACACAGGTTCTAGGGCACATGTATATTTATCATCAGCTCTATGATATGAGTTAGCCTACTCAGATCATACTTGGTGCTTCTAAGCCTACACAATAGCAGGCTACCCAATCTAAGAGATGAGAAACAGGGTAACAATGGACAGTTCCTGGGCATTGCCACACAAGGCAAGTTGATAGTAAAGACCTCCCTTATTCCCTGAAAATCCTTTACCTTTTCTGTGTAAGTTGCCTAAAGTCAATCTCTCTACATAATCCTGAAGTCTAGTCAAGCTTACCAAGACTTTGTAATAATTAAATGTTAGGCACTGACAAACCTTTAATTCACTTCTATACTAACGTCTAAACAAGTGCTTACCTACATTATTTGAGAAATCTGGACATTAACATTAAAATAATAACCTCTACAATAAAAAATAAGAAAACCATATACTCCTGGGTTTCTAAAATCAAAACCAATCAACTTCTACACATAAAACTTTCCCGGTTCCTCCTAAAGCTATAACAACCACAGCACAAACATCATGACATGCATTTCTGTGCCAGTAACAGAAAGGGAATTAACAACAAATAGAAAGCAAGGGTATTTTCCAGTTGCCATGGCATGCCTACCTAGTGTTTTCAAAAGCAGAGTTGTGTGAAGCAGCATTACCAGAGGGGCCACATACTGCAGGGCAATGACACAAAGGTAATAAAAGACTCGAGCCACCTGCAACCAACAACATGCTTAAGTATCTAATACAGCCAACATGTTATGAGTGAATTAAACTTTCATAAAATCACCCAGCTGAAATGCTTATAAATAATCCTTTCATGAGAAGAAAGCTAAATATTATTCATTTATATTTCACTATACATGTACCCTGATTTCAGAAAGGCTCAAGCCAGAGATAAGCTTTTAGAATTTGAAAATACTACAAAATTTTTAAAGCAACATTTCTAAGGTAAAACAAAACGCTAAAATCTCTATGGAGAGCTACTTAAAATTAAGGTAAATAACTGTGACAAGAAGGCATGTGTGAACAATAAAAACACTAAATATTCATTCTGTATCAACACATTTGCGGTCAAGTTTTGAATGACATGATAATATATGAAACATAACAACAAAACACAGGGGCCCAAAATTATAGTAAGTTTAAAAAGAAAGAGGACTAGATTACAGGTCAACTATAATGGTGATAGATCATTCACATTTTTCTTCTCTAAAACTCTCTGCTAAGTACGGAAAATACACATGGAAGCACATGGAGGAAGGTTAAAAGAACAATCCGAGGCACTGAACTTCCCACCCTTCTAGTCATGGGGTCTGGACAACTGAACCCAGTTGCCACAGCGCTGCAGCACACATACTGACACTTACAGCACCAAAGGTAGGAAAACAAGCCAGACCCTTGCTCGGCACCAAAATCAGGTAAGATCTCTGACAAATCAGCTTACAGCTTCAATACCTGTTTACTGTAAGGATATGAGATGCCTTGTGCCAATTTTGTTTTCAGTTTGACTGTTGCATAACTTACCATTTTCTGTAGCTCAACTGTACTTATTCGGCCTGCTTCTTTCTTCATTTGATCTACGCATTTCTGGGCCAAGTTTAAATATGCTTGCAGGTGACTTCGCATCATGGCCAACCGCAAAGCACATAACAGGATTATTAACCAGATTCGCAGAGTATCGAATGTGGCTTCTGTCATTCTATAGATCAAAAAGTCGATACAGTGCTCTCAGGGACCACAATATACTAGCATAGCAGTTCACAATGTAGAGAATACAGAAAACTTCTACTTCCCTAGTAAACTAGTAGACCCAAACATGAGTTTCATTCTGCCAATAACTTATCTGATGGTTCTTAGTATGTGCAAAATAATTAAGCAGATAAATGTATAATGAAAGCACAAGTCACAACAGAGCCCTCTTTATATCTACCTGTATCTATGGAAGAAATGGCAGCTATAACCCAGGTAGTGATTCTCAATGCTTAGAGATCGGAGAGTCCCTAGAGGACCATAGGTGATCAAGCTGGAACTAATCAAGTAAATGACTCACCTATAATTTGCTGTAAGTTTTGTCTGCTGATATACTTATTTGGTTGGGGGGATTTCAGTCTATTCAGTTTCTAATTAGGACCACTGAAAACTAAAAAAATCTTCACATATTACAAAGATATTAGATACCTCAAATTTCTCTAAAAGCCGTGCCTCAAACTGAGTTTACGATTTTAGCACATCTTTTAGCTAAAGATTAGACGGGACTGGGGGGAAGCAAAGACAGATGCATCCCTGAAGCTCACTGGCCAGACAGTCCAACCAAATCAATCAGCTTCTATGATTCTCTGCCCAAGAAAAATACCAGTAGATTATGCCTAGGAAAAACACCTGACTTTGACAATGGCACTTCATCCGCATGCACACACATGCACCCAATACCGAGCACATACACACGCACACACTCTCACTTCCACATACAACTTTTCCCTTTTGTGTGCTTCTATCCATATATCACCTATTTCAGGACGCTTCTTCTTAGTTCCAACTCCTATTTGGGCCATCAGTGTGTGCTCAACAACAGTCATGCTACATACATTGGGATTTGTTCTACAGATTAGAGTAGTAGCAAGTTCTGCCCAGTTACTAGCTGAATTTACTCACAAGGTAGTCCCTTTCAAGCAGAAATCACAGTTCTTACAAAACAACAAAACCCTTAAACATGGAAGGACATCAGGCTGTATTCAATATGAAAATATTTTACGCTTTTCCTAGTAGTCTAATTTCTGGAGAGATGTCCTAAGAGTATGGTTGTCAGGCCTGGTTTTTTATGTGGGTTCCAGGGACCTGAACTCGGGTCTTGTGCTTACACAGCTGTCAGCTTTACCAACTGGACCATCTCTCCAGGCTGTAAAGATGAGAATAATAACACCCTACAATGATTCACAATGGTTCTCCCCTAAGCATGCCCCATTAGCACACTATCCCTTCGTCCAGCACCTGGGAAGTGAATGAGAGGCCCAGAACAGGTGCTATGGAACGTCACGCTGTTGAATTTCAAAGGACAAGAAAAGGCAGGGAAGATATCAAAGTGTGATTCTGTTTAACTGTCAGAAATGGGAGTGAGAAAAAACTTTCTAATCTATAATCTTCTGTTTCCTTTTTCAAGGTTAAGAATGCACATGGATATAAAGCTCCAATGTGAAGGCACCGCTGCCTAGAAAACATAAACACATAATATTTAACAACACATTTTGACTACAATAAGAGACAAATGAGCCAGTCACATAGACGTAACAGTATACAGGATGGAAGGGTATCTGCAGCTTTGAGGCTTTCCAAGGGACATCTGAAAATCTGTTCCCTGGAGTGTACAACAAGAGCGGACTGGTAACACAATGAAGACAGCTATTTCACAGTCATCAAGGAGAACAAACATGAAGTTACTAGAATAAAAACAAAAATGAGTGACTCACTTTATAAGTTCAGGATTTGGTATAACAGCTATTAAGTATCTTCTAATTCATATTAATGTGCCTTAGTATGTGATCAGATGGGGTATGCCAAGAAGAAATCTGAGCTGGGATAAAACAACAGGTTGAGAATAGGCAGAGGCCAAGTGTGGGAGCTTACATCTTACACAGTAGTCCCTGGGAACCCTGAGCTACATCTGAGACTCTATCAAAAAGAGAAAAAAGAAGTCCAGGCATGTGATGTGGGGGAGGCAGAGGCAGGTCATCTCTGTGAGTTCCAAGCCAGTTGGGGCTGCAGTAAGATCTTGCCTCAATCAATCAATCAATCAATCAATCAATCAATCAATCAATCAATCAAAGAGACTGGGAAGAAGGAATTCTCCCCAGATCCCAAGGTAATAGCGGGCTTTATGGTAACTACTGACTTTTCTTCTCGGGCTGTAACACTAAAAGGATGCACACCCACACTTTACTTTCCAGTACTTTATCAGAGTATATGCATGAGTTAACACACACTTCCAGATTGTACAGCACCACATCTCTGCTTCTGACTACAGATACTTTTCCATATACTAATGTGTTAATACAGAAACAGCCATCATTTCCTTTTTGACTGACAGACAGTCATTATTTCATCATCTACCACAAGGACACTGGAATTTAACAGAAATTTTAAACTAAATTATTAACTCACAACTAAACAAGCGTGAGACAGTGCATACTTAGTGTTATACTTCTGACTGACTATTTATCAAACAGGGCAGAAGCCACGATGACACAAGGGAGAAAAAAGTTTCAGCAAGAAGACCCTAGGCTGCTGTATATAAGCAAAATGGAAAACAAATTTTGGCACTGCTACCATCTGGGGAAGGGATGGCTGGGAAAAGATAAGAATCTCACTCTGTAGCCCAGCATGGCCTTAAACTCCTGATCTTCCTGCCTCAGGCACACACAACTGGGATTATTAAGTGTGCACCACCATGTCTGGCTTCCTCCAAAATGGCTGAACAACTATTTGCCAAGCTAACTTCCGAGACTGCTGCTTAATACAAACAATTAAGACCAGTAACTGCACTGGGTGGTGGTGGTGCACACCTTTAATGCCAGCACTCAGCAGGCAGAGACAGGTGGGTCCCTGTGAGTTCAAAGGCAGCCTGTCTACAGTGCAAGTTCCAGGCCAGGCTCCAAAACTACAGAGAAACCTGTCTGGAAAGTGCCCTCTCCCCTCCCCAGAAAAGATTAATAACTACAAACAATTACTATACAGAGTACCAAGAAAAAATGTCGAGATTGTTGATACATAACATAACTGGTTTATGACAAATGCTAGTTTCCTTGTTTTTCCTAATTTCATTTGTAATCTGTCAAGTTAAAACTATTGTTAAGGTCTCGTTGGTTTACGTATATGGAGAATAAACATTACTTCTTCAGTGGGTACTTTCCTAGTTCAAGAAGATTAAGTAAGAAAAAAAATCATTATGGCCTCACTGGTTCTATTCAAAACAAACAAGCATTTAAAAGAAGTGCATACTATATAATACAATGACTAGTCAGGCTTTTCTATTTTAATTCTGATGAGATAATAGGGAAAAGAATATTACTAAGCATATAATTATTTATTTGTTTGTTTGTTTGTTTTACGGGACAGGCAGGGTTTCTCTGTATTGTTTGGAGGCTGTCGGTCCAGCCAGCCTCCAACTCACAGAGATCCGCCTGCCTCTCCCTCCCAAGTGCTGGGATTAAAGGCGTATGCCACCACCACCCGGCTACTAAGCATATTATTAAACACTCATTTTCAAAGACTGCATTCCATTCCATGTGTTCTTTCACTAATTCTAGCAATAACCCTGTGAGGCATACTACTTCATTTTGCAGATGGGGAAGCAGAGGCATAGTCCAGTTAAATAATCTACTGAGTGACAATTTCCATGAGGGGCAAAGCTGTGTGGACCTGTTCAGAACTGTAGCTTAATTCCACAATACTGTACCTAACACACAAAGTGGCTATTAATGTCTTTCAATAAGTTGCTTTTATATCCTTGACAACTAATTCTGCTAAAACAAAGTTGTCAACCTGGGGATATCTGAACAAGTATTAATCATAATCTTAAGACATTATTTTTAATTTTCCTAAGTATGTCGTAGACAAAACTTATCATTTGTTAGAGAAGGAAATTGCAGTACTTATTGCCTAAAATATGTCTCTAATTTATTTGAAAAATATTTTATTCAAAAAAACGGTCATGAAGCAAAAGGAAATGTTAAAAATTTTCATGGATAAGGAAATGATTACCACTTATATTTCCATTGACTATTTTGCCCTCCATAAAGTTCACAATAGAATAGTAAAAGCACTATACAAAGCTCTAAGTAGGCAAAACAACAAGAAAAATGAAACATGACAATTGGTATGTACAGGCTAATATTAAACTAGTAATCATTAGCATTCATCTAAAAAAAGATAAAAAATGGGTTACATGATGGCGTGCAGCTTTAACTTCAAAAACTTTTCAGCATTTTCACTAATATTAAGTAATAAAGTACCCCATGCTGGACGGTGGTGGCATATGCCTTTAATCCCAGCACTTGGGAAGCAGAGGCAGGAGGATTTTTTTGAGTTTGAAGCCAACCTGGCTTACAAAGTGATTTTTCAGGACAGCCTGGACAACATAGAGAAAGTCTATCTCAAATAACCAAAAAGTAAATATATAAACAAAGTAACTCAATTTATCAAAAAAACCCAAACAAACCCTGAAACAAACAAACAAACAAACACTTAGATATAAGCCAGGCATAGTAGTGGCGTATGTCTTTAGTTCTAGTACTCAAGAGACAGAGTGAGGCAGATCTCTCAGTGAGCTCAAGATCAGACTGGTCTACATAGTATAGGGCTATACACTAAGACCCTGCCTCAAAAAGCAAACAATCAACAAACCTATCTAAAATATAGTTAAGTAAAGCAGCTTTGATTTATAACGAAACTCAGCTCAGTGCTCAAGTCTCAATACTCACAAAGGGACACTTTCTTTCCCCAGTGGTGGGTTCATGATGTAGTCTTTGGTAATTGGCTTTACCCAGAGCAGAACCATAAATAAAGGTGCTAAGAAGTTGATATGAAGTAATGTTCTGAAAGAATACAAGAAATAAACATAAAGATCCAGAAACAAAATGTGCTAGTACAGTGCAACTTGCATATTTCATTTTTAGTCATTTACTGTTAATCTGAGTCCTTAAGAAATGAGGTTATATCTTAGTTTTTCAGATGATAACATGTAGGTGTAGAAAGTTATATAAATGGCTAGAAGGATATCTTAAGACTAAAACTGAAGTTTGTTCACTTCTACTCTAGATGCACTCGGTAATTCCCTATTAAATCTGTGATTCAACAAACAGGTATTTTAATGATTCTCTAACTTCCCATAGTAAGTAATTCCAATGGCAGATATACAAATCATCTGATAATTTTCAGCCCAGCCAAGTAAAATGCTTGCTCATTATTCATAAATAAATGACAGTGATTAGCAAATGTGATAGGTACATGGCAAACGAAACATAACAACTTATAACTGAGGGATCTTGCAATATGAAATCATCATTTACAATGTTAAAATTACATCATCAAAATTATATGTGACTCAAATTTGTATTTCTTTTTGGACTGTTACAAACATAGCTGAAATTAATTTCTTTATCATATTCGAATACAGATAATTTACTTTTGTTTTCTATTTTTAATTTTGTGGAACAGCTCATGTTACCCAGCCTAGCTTGGCCTCCAGTCCATGATACTCTCAGTCTCACAGGGTTGGAAATATAGACATGAGCCACCACAGCCAGCCTTACTTTACACATGACAAGTCTACACTCCTAATGCACCAAAGGGTATTTCAGAATCGAGCTACAACCTCACTGTTAACTAGAATCTAAATTTGTATCGTACAGATACACATGGCTGCTAAAAATTTTGTTTCAGGGAGAAAAAGGCAAACTTGACAGTTTTGTTACAACATACTGTTTTCAATATCAAGAAATGATAGTTAATTTCAATAATTAATTAATTTCATTATCAAGAAATACAATTAAGCACCAGACCGGGTTTAACTACAGGCTTTAACATACATACAAACACACACATTTTAACACATTACTACATAGAGGACACAGGGCTGAGTTGGGAACAGTGAGGTGACAAGAAAAGGTGGCTACAAGCCCTATTACTGTACAAGTCCCAGTGCCTTGCCACAGCGGTAGACAATGCTGTTCCTGTGCCACTCAAGTTACCGCAACAGAACTAGCTGGCCCCAACTGCCAGAACACAGCAGAGTGCTGTATTACAGCACGAGGATGTAGTAACCTGGAAATAAACAAAATCCCAAATCCCCAAAGGAGAAAAACCTTAAGAAACAGCCACATTTTACTGAAGATAGATGTACCACCGCTGTCTCCAGCCATCACTAAATGCTTTATGTTTTATAAAGTGCTTCTTTCATCCCACAGCCTTGGTAAACCATCGAGGGCAGGGAAGAAAGAGCAGTATTAGGTATGCAGTGTTGCTAGGGAACACTCCAGTATCAAGGAGCAGCCCACTGCGGTTTCAGTAGCTTGAGAAGGGCTCCCCTCCACCCATCCTTTTCAGCTTATTTAAATAATAACACTGGGGGTAGTGGACTGCAGTGTGTGTGTAGAGAGGAGGGGGGAACCAGATTTAGTCTTAAAAGGAGCCTTTAGAGAGATGGGTGGTGGGAAAAAAGGCTGGACACAGTAAAGAGCATGCTGAGGGGAAAAGGAGATGAAGTAGTGTGTAACGGGCGTGGGGGACTCAGACAAGCAAACACACACTAAACATGTAGAAAAATGGCATCAAGGAGAAAGAGTAAACATTAAATAACATAGGTAAAAAGCAAGAATGCAAGGGCAGGAGAATCAGCATCATTAAATAGAGTGTTTGAAAGAACAGTAAGTTTAGAAAATATGATTGCCTGGAGAAGCTTCATGCCTGCACTCGTGGATATACAAATGGAGTATTTGAAGCAGGGCTTGCAGTGCAGGTTAAGATTAAGAACCCGGATCTAAACAAAAGTATACACAAGCCTACCTTTCTGTTCATAAACAAACAAACAATCCTCCAAAAACAAAACTAAAAATCAAACCCTGAAATAACTACAAAGAAAACAGCAAAAGGCTTGGAATGATAGGCAAAAGTTTCATGTTTCCTCATTCCAGAATCAAAACAGAATGTGATGGTTGGAACTGATTTGCTGTAGGGTGTGGCTCATTATTTGCAATGTCAAAATAAAATAGTGAGTTAGCCTAACCAACAACTTTATGAAAACAGTTCTTACAAATACAACTCAGTTTTAACATATTTAATAACTTAATTAAAAATAAAATATTTGAACAAACACAAATATTATTAAGTATTTTAAAATAAAATGCAAAAAGATTTCCACAGATCTTGAGTTCCAATACAGACTGAAATATCAAAACTCTCTGAATTAAAAAGGATATAAACAGTGATATTTTCAAGTAGAAACACATTTAACAACAAATGTATTTTTAACACAGGCTTAAAATTTCAAAGCAAACTACTTATAGCTGAGAGGAAGTGGTTGATATAAAATATTTATTAATATTAATTTTTAATAAGATAACTTATTATTTTGTCACAATAATATACCTTAATTAAGATGGAAAACATATATTTATCTGCATGTGTTTATGTACATTTTCCGCTTACTGTGTAATTTTTTCTGTTGCCAAATTCAGGGCATCCAGATGCATTTGAGCCAGCCGTAATCCAGGAAATGTCAAAAAAGCCCCAATGAGTGAACAGAAAATAGCCAGGAAAAATTTGAAAGTAAGTTTTGAAACAGGACCCCTAAAAATAAAATAAAAAAAAAGCTGATAAATTTTTAGTTAACAAGAAGCCATTTTTCCCCCAGTTAATTTACAAATCACAATAATATCAGTACATCAAAAAATGTATCTACAAGAATATTGATCTTATAATAGATCTTGGTGAATGATGAGCTAAATAAAGCAGGTATTTCTTAAATGACAGCTAACAATCCATGCTACATATTCAAATGACAAATGGCTTGAATATATGTTGGTTTCCTCTTTGGAGACAGTGGGATTGTAAGAGCAAATACAGCTAAGAACTTAATGGAAGCTTCTAATGTCACAACTGTAAGGAGTATGAGTAAGCTGTCCCTAGAAGTGATGACAGGGCTGGAGAGGCAGATTTGGGGAAGCCCTAGCTTATGTGCATGCATTAGCCCCTGTGCTTGATCCCAAAACTGCAATGAGGGAGGGAGAGAAGTGAGTATTACTAAGAATTGTTTTATGGATTAAAAGCAACTAATTATAATATATATATATTTACTATAAGTAAAAACTATTTTAAGAATGGAAAATGGAAACTTAAGTCCAAATGGACCAAAGACCTCAACATAAATCCAGCCACACTGAAGCTCTTAGAAGAGAAAGTGGCAGGTATCCTTGAATGAATTGGTACAGGAGACCACTTCCTGAACATAACACCAGTAGCACAGACAGAGGTCAACAATTAATAAATGGGACCTCCTGAAACTGAGAAGCTTCTGTAAGGCAAAGGACACAGTCAACAAGATAAAAAGGCAGCCCACAGAATGGGAAAAGATATTCACTATCTCCACATCTGACAGAGGGCTGATCTCGAAAATTTACAAAAAACTCTAGAAGCAAGTCTCCAAAACACCAAAGGATCTAATTAAAAAGTTGGGTACAGAACTAAATAGAGAATTCTCAATAGAGGAGTCTAAAATGGGTGAGAGACACTTAAGGAAGGGTTCAACATCCTTAGCCATCAGGGAAATGCAAATCAAAACAATTCTGAGATACCATCTCACTCCTATCAGAATGACTAAAAAAAAAAAAAAAACAGTGACAGTTTATATTGGAGAGGATGTGGAGAAACAGGATCACTCCTCCAATGTTCATGGGAGTGCAGTCACTTTCAAAGTCAGTATGGAGAATCCTCAGGAAAGTGGGAATCAGTCTACCACAACATCCAGCAATTCCACTCTTAGGCATATACACAAAGAATGCACATTCATACAACAAGAACGTCTGTTCAACTGTGTTCTAGCAGCATTATTTGTAATGCCAGAACCTGGAAGCAACCTAGATGTCCCCCAACTGAAGAGTGGATAGAGAAAATGTGGTACATTTACACAATGGAGTATTACTCAGCAGAAAAAACAAATAATGGAATCTTCAAATTTGCAGGCAAATGGATGGCACTAGAAGAAACCATCCTGAGTGAGGCAACCCAGTCACAAAAAGACAAACACGAGTCTTCATCCAGTGGCTGAAGGAAGCAGAGGCAGACGACACCCACAGCTAAACATTGAACTGAACTCCTGGAAACCAGTTGCAGAAAGGGAGGAGTGATGAGCAAAGGGGTCAAGACCAGGCTGGTGAAACCCAAACCCCCAGAAACAGCTAACCTGAACAAGGGGGAGCTCATGAATCCTAGACTGATGGCTGAGAGGCCAGTATGGGACTGATGAGACCCCCTGAACGAGGCTGTTGTAAGGACACATCGGCAATCTTTGTGGCCTCAGATACTAGATTAGTATTTATCCCTGGCATTCTAATGGACTTTGGGAGCCCATTCCACATGGAGGGATGCTCTCAGCCTGGACACATGGAAGAGAGCCTAGGCCCTGCCCTGGATGATATGACAGACTTTGGAGATCCCTCATGAAGGGCCTCACCCTCCCTGGAGAGTAGAGTGGAGATTGGGTGGGGGGTTGGGAGGCTGGTGAGAGGCTGGGGAGGAGAGGAGGGAGGGGAGCTGCGATTGACATGTAAAGCAAGCTTGTTTCTAATTTAAATTAAAAAATCAGGAAATTTAAAAAAAGAATGGAAAATTTAAGTAATGCTCAACTTTTCAAAAACTTACTGAGATTCTAAACCCTGCTTTTCAAGAAACTGCATCGCACTGTCTGAAAAATTTGTAAACCCTGTAGGAAAAAAGAGATTACTCATATCATGAGGGTGAAATACAGACTCTCCTACAACAGAGCATCATGTAGGTTAGTGACTAGCTTGGTGTTTGTGTTAACTAGTATGCTATAATGCAATAAAATTAGTTATTAGCAAGAACAATCTCTAAAATATCCCTTTGATACGTACATTCCGTGAGTGCATAAAAAAGTTGAATTAATTCTTTAGTATTACATAAATTGACTTAACTTTAAGAAAAAAAAACTAAAGTGGAAGTATTTCGGGGAAAAGGATAATAAAAACCTTAGCTAAAACAGCAACAATAAAGATCTCATTGAAGATTAATAAAGATATCTAGAACAAAAAACAACCACAATTTTAAGTATTTCTTAGACATAAAACAACTAAGTACTGAAATCAAAATTATACCATGCAAATAAAATTGATTTTTAAGATTATATAAAACTATTACCTGTTTCAAGTCCGAACTCCAGGTAATTCTCCGTTACAATCAAAACTGCCATTGCTTTAACGAAGAAAAAAAATCCAAAGGTGACACAAACTGACCTTTCACCACCGTCTTCTACTTTAAAATAGTGTGTAGTTAATGAAAATAGAACTTTGCTGCAGAAGAAAAAGTTCAGGAAAAACCACCAACAACTTGTGGGAGCTATGCGTAACATCTTTACATGATGCAAATGCCAAAGAAGTAAGATCATCCACTTCCATTCTATTGGTTTGTCTGTCAGCTGTATTTTGGAAGTAAGGAAAACTTTAAAGGAAATAGGACAGAAACAAAGCGGACATCTAATATGAGTTTATATTTTTACACTAAGGAAGAGTACATTAAAATTCAATTGCAATTACAGAATGTATTTCTTATATATATGACCCAAATTTAATGTGGGTAACTACAGAATTTTATGCTAATAGGTTTGTGATAATAGTAGCACGAAAAGAAGGGGTAGAGATTTTAGGCAGTTAATCTTATTGGGAATCTTTATCAAACATTCTATTTATATTTATTGATTATAATTAAATACATAATACAACACCACAGGATTCATTTGTAGCCACTTAATAATCCAAAATTTGAAAATTACTAATAGCTGCTGGTTATATGAAAACTGTTATATGAAACTGTTTAGGACCATCATTCATAGGGTTAAACAAAGACAAGTTCCAACTGAGGATTCCAAACCAGTCAAAGTTTCAACATGCTCAACTTGAAAATCAAGCTAAAAGATCATGTAACCTGAGCCCCACATAACACACTCACTCATTTATAATTAGGATCAAATCAAATATAACCCAAAGATAGAACTTGGACCTTACGTATACACTCATGTTTCTTGAAAGGATAAGAAAACCCCACACAAAATAATGCAGCAAGTAAACAAATCTAGACACAAGCAACTTTGATATGAATGTTATGTTATGCACTAGAAATAATGTCACTTAGTGTGAGTCATGTACAAAACAAAACACATTTAAAGAAACCCGTGCTGGGAGTTAAGTAAGACCTGAAAGTTATGCAGATTAGAGATGGCCGAGATTTAAACCTAGGGAGTCATAATGCAGAGCCTGGGTGCTTGGCACTCACTTCTCTGCCTCCATAAATTACACAAAGCACCTAATACCTATGTGCGGCAGCAAAGACATAAAAGATGCAATCTTTTCAAACTAGGTAAGCATTCTTGTTGCAGTTTTCAAAGGCAGCAAGCTCTATTTTTTTGCATTTTAATTAATCCATCAATTAAAGGATAGATGATGATGGGTTCCAACATAGGTTCTGCTTTCTAGGCAGGTGCTGAGCCACAGAGACACAGGCACATCCTGCTACATTATTTTTATAGCACAGAATAAATCTTCAAGTCTTCTGAGTTTGGAGAGCTGACAATTTCTTCAAAGTACAGAAAGGCTTTAAAGAGCAGTACTGACACGTGTATGTCGCAATGCAGTACTTTGTGGCGCTTCTGTTTCATTACTCCTAAAATCCCTACTACTACTGTATAAATCTTACCTGAACACAGCAGTCAATCTTCTACTTTCACTAACATCTACTCAATCATTTATAAATAGCAAAGAGCATACAGCGGCATTCCTAACTTTGGCATGATTTTGTGCTATCAAGATTAACCAAATTATCATACTTCAATGATTGATAGGTTTGATCAGATGCAGATTTCCATGTTATTTTAAGAAAGATGATCTTTTTAGTTTCTCTTCCACAAAATCAATGCATATAACCCAATATTATTCTTGTCAACTTTTATGCATAAGGAGAATTTACCAATTATGCTTTTACTTATAGCTATAGAAAAGGCTCTTCAATACCAAGATTTTTGATAAAGGTTCAAAGAACCAATGATGGGGATGCACTTCTGTAAATATGTTTCTCTTATTGGTTGATGAATAAAAAACACTGATTGACTGGTTGGCCAGGCAGGAAGTACAGGCAGGGATAAAAGATGAGGAGAATTCTGAGAAACGTAGGCAGATGAACTCGTCATGTAGAGCCTGGGAAGAGAGGATGAACAAGGCATTCTCTGGTAAGCCAAGACCACGTGCAAACGCATAGATTAATAGAAATGGGTTAATAATTAAGACAGAGCTAGCCAGTAAGAAGTTCAAGCCACCTGCCAACAGTTTTATAATAAGTACTGTGTGTTTATTTGGGGTTCTCCGGGGCAGTGGACTATGGGGGAGAAGGACTGTAATGCCCAGAGGACCAGAAACTCTGCTGTGTCCCCACAAATGGCTGTCTATATAACAACTGAACAATGACAATGCTAATATGGAAGGGGAAAAAATATCATGGGGTCGAAATCCTAGATAAAGAACTACAGGCAATATGACTACTGAGAAAGGGAGAATCAACCTCTCCAAAGAATGAGCCCTCTGATTATCTAATACAAAATGGTCAGCCCTGAAATCATACACATACAAAGAAAAGAGACTCAGAAGGCTGTATTTACATATCTCTGCATCTCCCCCCGACTTCTCTCTCCTCTCCTCTTTCTCTCTCTCTCTCTCTCTCTCTCTCTCTCTCTCTCTCTCTCTCTCTCTCTTTCTCTCTCTCTCTCTCTCTCTCTCTCTCTCTCTCTCTCTCTCTCTCTCTCTCTCCACATAAACACACACACCCCAATAATAAAGGAAAATAGGCTACCAGTTGAGAGGAAGTGAGATAGGACATGGAATAGGTTGAAGGAAAAAAAATGGGGAAGCAATGTAAGCAATGTAATTATATGTTAACTGAAAGTATATTAAAACTATCATATACATTGAGAGACTATGACCCTGACAATGATAGTCTCCAATTTTAGCAATACACAGATAAAGGTAATTCATCAAGTAGTTAAGATCAAAACACAGAAATATCATAATTACCTAAACAGAAAACCTTTGACAAACTCCCGCATTCCTTCATGATAAAGTCATGGAGGGAACATACATCAACATAATAAAAGTTATATTAAAAACCTATTGCTACCATCATATGAAATGTAGAAAAAAACCTCATTCACACTAAGATCTGGAATAAAGTAAGGATGTCCCCTCTTTCCACTTTTATACAATACAGTTTGAAGTCTTAGCAAGACAAAAGGAATAAAAAGGAATACAAATAGGAAAAGGACAAAGCATCCCTCTTTTGCAGATGACATAAGAGACCCTAAAAATTCAGACAAAAAAACTTTTAGAAGTGATACTTTCAATAAAATAGGATACAAAACACACAAAAACTAACAGCCCACCTATATACCAATGACAAGCACATTGGAAAAAGAAAACCCCATTTACAATAGCCATGATAAAATAAAATGAAAATTAAACCAAGGAAATAAAAGAACTCTTCATTGAAAACTTTACAACAGAGAAGAAAGAAATTAAGGAAAATATTAGGACTGAAAAATTTTCCATGCTCATGAACAGGAGCAACTAGCTCATCCTACAAACAGCAACCTAGAGACTGGGGTCAACTAGCTGTGTGTCGGGAGAAAAGTAAGGTTAAATGTATTCATGTAAATTTTAAGCCATCTTACATGGTCTAAGATCTTAGAGTTGCTTCATAGTTAAACAAATTACAAATATACTATGATTTACATTTATTTTGCTAGGTTAATAATGGAAAACTGTAAAGTAAGCCTTCTCTACTTAAGACTTTCTAGCTTCTCAAGGAGAAGGCAATGTAATATATATGAAACTCTCATACACAACTAGTTTAAACCATACATCTTAAGGCATTATTAACCACTTAGTAATAGAATTGAAAGCCAACTTATGGTAGAAAAAATGGAAGCAAACAGAAGAGAACAAAATAATCTTCAGGACTTAAGATTACTGAAACTTTTATCCATAGGAATTATAATTCACCCTTGAAAAGTTAAGAGTTTGACTCTCAAGTTAAAGAGAAAACAGCAACAAATTAGGAAACATTTTAAGTCTTAAGAGAAACACATTAAGTAGTCTTCATCTAATTAACACATTAGCTAGAAGCCATATAGTTAAAAACACTTTTCTGAGAGCAATGGTAGGATTCCAGAACACAGACGGTCAAACTATCCCCTATTCCTTCCACTTTACTTTAAACCATGGTTCACTTATTTATCTTTTCCAAAACTAGAGAAGCAAACACATTGGTTTCTTATATTTTTGGTTGTGAGCCTAGCCTTTAACGGCTGAGCCATCTCTCCAGCCCTGATTTCTTTTACTAGAACCAAACACTATGACTCCATCTCTTTGACATTCTATTGGAATACCCAAGAAAAGAGAATAAAGGTAAAAACAGAGAATATGCAATCTCCAAAACCACTCCCGAACTACTTCCAAGATCCAGTTTTGCCATCTTTCAATGCCTCAGGGCCCTAACTCCTGGTTTGAAAAACACATGCATTTTATTGAAAATAGAAACTGTAATTTCCAAAGGGACAATTTCCAACTCCTCCGTTGACATGGAGAAAAAAAAGTCTTTGGCTAAAGTGATGTCAAATGACCGGAATGACATTTCCAAAGATTGCATCTAACGATAAACTATAAATCTGAAGCTGGGCGTTGGTGGCACACATTTTTAATCCCAGTGCTTGGTAGGCAGATCTCTGTGAGTTCCAGACCAGCTTGGTCTACAAGAGCTAGTTCCAGGACAGCCTCTAAAGCCATAGAGAAATCCTGTCTTGAAAATCCACTCCCCCACACACACATAAAACCAAAACAACAAAATAAAGAAACTATAGATCTGAATAAATTACAAATCTACCAACACTGAAAGCCAACAATACTAGATATATAACATGACCCAGGCATTAAGTATGACCTTGCCTTCATAATTATCTATTAATATAATCTCATACCATAGATGTCTAAAACATAACAATCCCTGACTCAATTTATACTACATATTAGATAAACCAAATCACTCCAAAAGACCAAAGTCAATGACATGATGGGGCTTTTTACAAGACGAGCTTCAATATTACAAAATTGTTCTTCAGTGAAACTACCAAACCCTACCTAGGTATATTCCTCTTTCAAGTTTAAGTCTCTCACTTTTAAATATGAAAGGGATCCTTAGACATTAAGGCATGGATCAAAAATGTTCAAATAGTAAATGTTTTGGGCTTTGTGAG